CGACCTCTAGTGGGTTAGGGTTGTCATGACATTAAACATAAGAACATATTATGGCTAAGGCTACAGTTATACACGTCATAATAATAATATTAAACATCCTGTCTGCTGACAGTCATCAACTTTTCTCTCTAGTTATCCTTGACCAGATGTACCCTGTAGAAACTCATAAGCATGACTAAGCATTTAACAGTCTAACTAGACATCCTATCTCCACTAAACATTTCTAATACATAAAGTATCTAACCAATATCTATCTGACTAAAAATACCTAACAAAAGCATTCCAGGATGATCAGCAATCCAATGACAAAACTCTGATCAACTTATGAAAATGTGTTTTAACGTGAGGTGGCAAAAATGGGAAGACTGAGCCTGAGTGCAGCATGTACTTTGACCCAAATATAACCAAATGACAAATAGGGGAAAAGAGCACTTTTTCCTTTCCCAATAAATGGCTTTTTTCCAACACAAAGGAAAAGAACATATATTAAAAGCAAATAACAGTTGAATAATATTTATAAACGGATCTAACATACAGAATTATAGTAACTTCTTTTATTTCAAATGAATGCAAGTTGTACAGAAACAGAAAATACTTAAAATGTAGTGGAAAAAACAGACCCTATAATTAAATCAGAACTACTATTACTATCTCTACTATTACTACTACTACTACAAATAAGTATTTTGTGAAACACAAAGCAGAATACCATTCAACTTGTAAAGCATTCTTGTCTGATCTTTTGTTTCCATCTTGTGGTGAAATGTTGGAATGACTGAGAAGGTTCTTTAACATGACACAACTTCTTGATGTTAACTGAAAAAGCTCTATTAGGCTCCTAATGTCAAGAATCAAGCCAGAAGCAGTCCAGAGGAAAAGCCACTATGGGAAGAGAGGAATCACAGCAGACCCATTTGACAACTAAATAGTCAGAACTTGTCATAGATAACTTCGTGTGCATGTCTGCAACCTGGTCTGTCCTCAGTAAAAGATCGAAGGCCTTACCTTATGACTGACAATGATCTAATGAAGGATGTCCATTTTGGGTTGGGAGTAGAATAATTTGTCAACATAGGAAAAAAAACCCCTGATTATTCCTGTATTGCTTTTTTATCATTTTAATACAAACTTGCTTTAATTGCTAAAATACATTATGTCTAGTTAAAGTAAATGTTACATGTTTTTATTTATTTTTTAATCAATTGTAGTCTACTTGAGTTCTTTTTATTGTTCATAGCCTCTCCTCAGTGATATAAAAACATAAATTGCATGGGACTTGAGGTCTCGTCCATACATGAAGGCTTTTGTCTGTTGGCTCATGAAATGGTTTTAAATTGCTTCTCAACACTTTTGCAAAAACACGGACAGGAGGCAGTACAGTCGGCTAAAACCTTTAAAGTTTGAAAAGCTGTTTTTGCTGCTAGACTGATTGAGAGCTTTTTCACTGCAGAAAGTCCTGACTCGGGAAAAGCAAAGGTCTTATCAATAGCCTACAGATGGATTCATTACATTTGCAGCAGTGGGTCATCACTCTGAACGCAGGCTTTAGTCCATGTGAGAAAAATGCATTTCCATTGTCTTGTTTTTGAAATTTAAATTAACCATTTTGTTCAGGTCCTTAAATACTGAAATAAACAGAGTGAAAAATAATATAATTATTGAAAGAGGTCCCTCTTTTTTATTTCCAAATTGAAGTTGAACTTTGCACTGATAAATGTCAGCTTTGTGAAAGACCAAAGATGCTGTGCACCCAAGGTTAAACATTAACTTATAACACTCTTAGTAATGATGATGTGCTGGAAAGAGTAGGCAAAAGACAACCACCAGCAAAGTGCAAAAAGAAACAGATAAAATGATGCATGAACTATAATTTTCAATCAACTGGGAGAAGCAGATACTTTAAATATTTCAGTATGATTTTGAAATACTGCACATTTTCATCTTAACTGGCAGAAGGGGAACTGAATTTCACTCCTCAAAAAAGTAAGGTCAAAATTTACAGCATGATAAGCTTCAATATTTCCTCACCTCTATTATTTAAAAAACTACTAAACTACAAACAATGATAAGCTTATTCAGAATTCAACAACTCAGTTGTACAACACTGTAAGGACACAATTTAAAGCCTTTATTTTAACATTACTTGCACAGTAAGATATGCTTATGCCACTTTGTAGCCAAATGAACAAATAAATTACGTTACAGTACATTCACAGTAAAAACACCTTATACGTACAAATGTTCCCCAACTATATGATCTGTAACCCTGGTTCATTTCTGTGGGGAGAACAGAGTTTGACTTAGTAAGAGGAATCTTTCAGTGGCTGTGGTCAGTGCAAAGTCCAGTCACATATGGGGAAAAAAGAAATTATGGAGGGTTCTTCAAACTTATAGCAGCTGAATCAAGACCAAATAATTAACATACTAATACAATTACAAAAATAACTGCAATAAAAACGACCAACGTTCCAGCTATCATTGGTTGACAGAACATGAAGCCCTACTGGACCACCAACTGGAGTCAAATATAACACCTTAAGTGTTCTAACTGGTAGCAAGTAAGCAAAAAAAGTTGTTATTGCTGCTACTCCAAGTGGTTGTAGTGCAAAAACAACCTGGAATTACAAAAACTAAACATCAATGATTACTCTGTCATTACTAATGCCTTGTATACATTAAGGTGTGTGCCATTTTTCTTTCTTTAACAAAGAACTGTAAATTGTTCAAACTGTTCACATAACAAAACCTTTCTAACATAACTTAAACCGTAAACCCCCACCAAAAAAGCCCAAACATTGTTGTGTAGTTTTCACCCTGTCTCAAAAATAGGAGACGTGTAAGGCTGTAAGAGTAGACAGGAAACCACATATCTGTATGGGAAGTAGACCATGGTTGCATAGCAACACTAGAGGTGCTACCTCTAAAACTGTCTATTGAAAGGTCAGGATATGATTGTACTGAGAATGTCACCGATCAAAATCTATGGAGATAAAATACTATCAAAAATGTTACAAATGCGTGTTTAACGTTTTGTCTGTAACAAGCGATTTGTGTGTGTGTGTCATGAGGATCACAAATGCGTACTGCGCAATCTGCACGTATAAAGCCATTTGTGTGTGTGTGTGTGTCAGGGCCGTACACAGACCTTTTTGAGGGGCATGTGCTTTAAATTATTTAATTTGTCCCTGGCCTGAGCTGTTCCCTTCACTAGCATTATACATATATTAATACACACACACACACACACATTACATTCTGCATGATAAAATATATAGAATACACAGTGACCTGATGATTCTCATAAGCTATATAATATGAAATGTTAATAAATTGCATCATGTAATTTACGTGTATCAGCAGCACATAGTCATCAAATCAAAATAGAAATTTCTTATAAATATATTTTACCTAACTGACAAGGATCACTCAGTTGCTTTGTGTCACTCAAATGCAGTTACACCGCGGGTTTTTGACCAGCGAATGTGTGCAATTTGTTCATTATTAAAACGACGACATCACATGTGGTGATGGTCACAGAACTCAAATGCATTATATGAACCTTTATAGACATACTAGTGTTTATTTCATAAAGACAACGTTGCACTTATTCAAACAACAAGATATTTTACCGTTACAAGACAAAGACGTTCATCTGTTTCTGGTTTCTGACTGCTGTGCTGAAAAACGTAAGTTCGCTGCGCTCAGGGGGCGGAGTTGTGAAGTTTGACTGACAGTTTGAGCGGTTCTAAAAGATGCACTTTTTAATGCCTTTAATTGGCTAAATATTTGTTAAAAAGACAAACAGACGTAAAGGGTTACCAATAGCATTGATTTATTGAAGCTGTGCACGTGCCTGGGCAGCAAACAGACAAGTGGGAGCCAAGCTTTCAATTACTTGTTGTGCACTTGAATCTGTTCTTGAAGTAGAAAGTTTCTTTAATAATTTTATCGTCAGCATCTGAGGATGAGTAGCGAAATTTGTCATAGGCCTTTTGTGATTCTGTTTTAGACCAGGGTAGTTGGATCTTGGATGCATGGCTTACAATGACATCACTACAGGAGGCAATGTGGAGGGAGCCCAAACCATCAATGAAGAACTCTGCAGTATCAAAAGACAATTGAGTTTTGAACAATCCTTGCTCGATGTTCTGCTGGATTTGTTTAATCTCTATCTTTCTGAATGTGAATCAGCTTAATGGTGTCTGTGTAGAGAAAACAGCTAATATAAACTGCTATGTTAATATATTCGTAGCAGATAAATAAAGACAAACTCACCTAGATGAGCCTTTCGTGCTAAGCGGGGGTTAAAGCCCACCTGCTGCACCTTGTCTGTCCGTCCCATGAAGAAGTTGATGACAGCATCAGCTGCCACGCAGTTGGGAAACCCCTTGATGACATGGTGGTAGCCCTGCCTTAAATGTAAACAGTCTCCCTCCTCTCCCCCTTCTTCCACTGAAATAGTGTGACGGTATGTTGCAGTGTAACCTGTCACCTCTCTCACTCCACCACCAACCTGAAGCCATTAAGACAGCAAAAGTGTTAAGACGATGAATACATGTATGCAAGCACAAGAAATAGAAGTGTTTACCATAAAGCACTGTGGCTAGTCCTACTGGCTCGATAGGTAGTTTCATCTAAATGCCACGGGTCACTCGCTGAACTTACTGTCCAGCTCCACTGGTAACTACTAGTCCGACTAGTATTTAACAGTTATATAGTCATATTAACTCTCCAACCTAGTGTAACTTTAAAACAGTTTTGAATCCTAGCTTCATCCAAGCAATAAGCAGATACTTCACCTTCTCCTCCAGTTGCATTATTACATAATAATGAAATGTGCTCTGTATTACTATTAAAATGAAATCAGCCTGTTTTAGCAGAAGTTATCCTTATGTTGTTCAAAATAACGTGCACTCAGAATGAGACATGGGTTCATCTAAGTACTGTAGGGTTAAAGTGGGACTATGTACAGTTGAAGTCAGTAGTTTTTTTTAAATTATCACAAAAATAAAATGATTCCAATTATAAGTTAAAATCATCACAAAACAAGGATAAGCTCAGTAAAAATTACATAATACAATCAACAAAATAAAATCTGGAAGTAGCAGGACTCAGACTCTCAGATTTGAAATGAAAGAGTGAGATTGATGAGCCAACTTCAGTACTAGGTTTGCTGAACTCATTCTCATTAACACTAATTCTCTACTGGATAAACAGTGCAGGGCTCTGAGCCTGAAATTATGAGAATACAGCAGGATAATGATCAGAAATATGCAGCCATAACACCTAAAGTATTTTTTTGTCAAATTTGAATTTTGTATATAAATTGAGTAAATGAAAATGCTTTTTCTAATTTGATCAATACAAATATGCTAACACCAATATTTAAAACTGACATTCTGACCAGTAAAAAAATGAATGCCATCAAGGACAGCAATTCAAATGTGCTGTCATGATATTAGCTACAGGTATAGTACTGACTTTAGCCTATATTTTTTGACATCTTTGCAAACTGGCACAATTAAATATACAAATTATTAGCCATTTCTTTTAGTGATGTGCCCATGGATATACTGAAGTCTCGGTGGGTTACTCTGATATTTAAGAAAACGTCTCAGGGAAGTTCCAAAACATCTTTGATTACCTACTGATCTTACAGTGATGTGTGTCATGTTGTACAAGCTGAAACAGATCCAGATCTCACCAGATCAAAAGTGGTCTTCTCTAGAATGTCCACCATCTTTTCCAACTTAGTATTTGCAGTAAAGATGAAGTCATCATCCACCCAGAGCACATATTTGGTGATCACTTGAGACACAGCCAAGTTTCTTCCTGCAAACCAACCCTGCATGTTGTAGATAAGGCAGTGTTAAAACCCGTTAACTGTACAGTTATGATATCTAGTAGAGATGTGTAGAGTTCTTTACCTTTCCAAAAGGCATGATGTAATGCTCAATGTGAGGCCCAGTCACTTGCTGAGGGTGTTCATTATCATCTGCTATCACTATTGTGACAGTTGGATAATATTGCCGAATGCTGTCAATAAGATCTTTGAGTTTGTCATACCGTAGAAAGGTCTTAGTGGCAATGGTAACAAGAGCACTGATATTGTACTCTAAGTAGAAACAAAAAGCACATATGAAGAACAAATTCCTGTGTGGCTTTCAAACACTTTGTATCAGATAAAACTGATAATGACAGAACAGCTCACAAACCTTTTTGGTATCCAGTGTTGTACAGGTTTGGAGGGGTTCCATGTTCAACTTTAATGGTGAAAAATGACAGGTGACCTTCGGTTGCAAACTCAACTGCAGAGCAATAAAACAACAGCTGAGATAAATCCAGGTTTTAGACACAGGGTACTAGGGTTGCCAACTCTTTGATAGTGATCAAGTGACAAAAACAGACTTTACCAAGTCCAGCAGACACAAATAGACAGAGGTGCAGCCACATAATGCACTGTACAGAAGTACAGAAGTTGTCCCTTCAACAACATAACACCACAAAACTAGTCTGGCGATGTAAAATCCCTACAATACAGGAGCATTTTTCAGTATAAGTAGGCTAAATTAATTTATTAAAAATAAAACTGTGCAATTTCAATTTCTCTATTGGTGCCCTGGAGTTGCCTTCTGATTGAATTTGTATTTTTCCTATACTTAATGTGTTCAATCTGTATTTTACTGGAAAAACACCAAAAACTCTCCCGGATTGATTGACTAAATTAATCCCAGGATTATCCAAGTTATTATGTGAATGTATATGAATATAGTTTTGTTTTGCAGATATAAATAGCATTGTTTAATTCTTCATGAAAAATTAGATACTTAATTCTTCCTTAATCTGTTTACCATAATGTCTATTAATTCATTACTTACTGATCCAACAGAATGTTGTGTCTTACTACAGAGCATTAGGACGAACCTCTAGAAGGTGGAACAGGTACACACTACATCCCTCTTTCAGTATCAAGACGGTATCCACATGAAAACTTTACCTCTATCTGCTGTCCTGGGATGGAAAACTGTGTTTGTATAGGTGACAAACTGCAACTGCCTGTTCAGAGCAGAGACAAAAGGACTTGACACCATCATGTGCATCTCTCCCTCTCCTTTGACAGAGACTGTGTCCACTGTAGCAGCAACATCAAAGGTCCCCAGTGTTGCTTTCAAATGCACCTGTTACAAAAGTCACATGGTTTACGGGGGGAAATAGCAAAGGGTTTAAAAGAAGGTTATGTCAACCACAATGAAAACCCTAAACCTAAAATGAAGATATTACCACATGGTTTAATCTTGTTTCTTCTTTAAGAGCCAAACCTATGGAAAGAGAGTCAGCATTACTGGGGATACCAAAATGTGATTTCAGTAGCAGATGCAGCACCAATAGTATATGAAGATATATCAAGTTGTGTGTTTCTTTGATAATATATGTTGTGTCATGTGTGTAATGTTACCAGGAATGATGATTGTTTTCAGAGGTCGCACCCTGACCCCCTGGGTAGGATACTGAAGGGGACTGTTGGCCTCAGCTACAATAAGTTCATCTGCAGGACTGTAGGTCCTTTACACACAGAAATTATTAGATAGACACAGACCTGTATTTCTTCACCGCTGTGTAGAACACACCAATGTTCCATTATTGGCAAAGCATACAATACAATGTGATTTAACTGTATGGTTTATGTTTTTCTGATTTATTTGACAAAGTGCTCTTCAGAATTTTTTTTTTTTTTAAACAACCAAGAGTGGGCCTTACTCTAAGTTACAAAAGGTTGAGAACCCCTGTACGAAAGAGCTGGTGTGCAATTCCATGGCAACATTGTACAAGCAGCAGGCAAAGAGAGATAGAGCTACAGTGTGTTGAAGAACAGCGTAAGCCAATAAAGTGTCTGATAAGTACAATGTCCAACTCATGAATGCTGTTGCCAGCCTACTTATCATGCCATGTCCACCAGTATAAACAACCCTCCCCATACCTGTTCCTGATCAATGCAGGTACATTTGGCCTAGCATAATTTGTTTTGTTCTCACCAAAGGTCATGGTCTGTAAAAGGCTGAGTAGAAGTTTATGTATATTCTGTACATGCTCGATAAACTGGGTTCTCCGGGAGAAATTTAGTTGGGCAAAGAGGAACATAACACTGCACTCTTGTTCTGTAAACAGATATGGAACATTGTGCTTCTGTGGTTTCAACGGTCTGTGGTTCCCTAAGACACGTTGTAGGTGTGTTCGTGAAATGTGACAATATATGCAAGCAATAGCATAGACATAAAATTTCTATTACATTCCCCACCTCTGCGCTGTTGCTCCTTCAGTCACTGTCCTAACATAGCGGGGTGTAGCTACTGAGTGACAGCACTTGATTTCCATTGACAATGAATGGGCAGCTGTCACTAACCCAGGGCTTTGTCTCTGTATGTGCTCGGAGTGCTTAGCAGTTCAGCCATGCACTTTGGCCACAAGGGGGCTCACATGCAGTCAGTAGCCTCTGCAGCACTCATAATTGTGAATAATCTTTAAAAATATTCCTGTATCCAAATTGTGATACAGATAAACACCAAAATCTAATCAATTGTTTCATGCCCCATACCCTACTTCTCCAAAAAGTTTCACCCAAATCTGTTCATTGCTTATTCAGTTATTCTGTTATCAAAAACACACACAAACAAACCAACATATGCCGGCAAAAACATAAGCCCCACCCTTGGTGAGGGTAAATATAGCTCCACAAAGGTGCAAGTAAACAGAACTAAAGCATGTGGACACTAGGGTGAAGAACAGTAACAACAGAATGTGACAGCCACAATGTGAATGAAGCCTTCCAAAAAACTGCAGTATCAACAAACTGAATTGCTATGTCTGCCATAGGTCAGCTGTCAGCTGATACATTATTTTTATTTATTTATTTCAAGCAATAGTGACATATAACAAGGCAATAAAAGCATTCAATCCATACAAGGCATAGTCCCTTACATTAACAACGTGAAAGAAAGCCAATTGCTCGAAATTGAGTGGGAAAAAGAAACTTATTACAACATCAAATGTGTATTGTGAAACTGGACAGTCATTGAGCTTTGTAACTAGACATTGTCAAAGGACGCACCCATAATTTACACAGTTTGCTCTTCCAGCCAAAGTGAGTCACATGGTTAAAAAAAACCCGGTGTGTCCACTGATAGTGATATGTGTCACAAACTGATCCTTACCTCTGCTTAAATCTGCTGTACTCCTGAGCTCTGTGATGCTTTATACCCTCAGGGTCAGGATGGGACTCCAAGAACGCAAGATCATTCTTGCGTGCCCCAACACGTGGGAAGAGCAGATTGGAGTACGGCACATGAAAGTTCTCATCAGCCAGACACACACATGTATTCTGAGCCAAACGACTGTGTCAGAGAAAATTGGTACAAAGTGAGTTAAGGAAATAATTGAGAATTCATAATAGAATTTGGAAAAAATAACAATGCTGACTTATACACACCGTGCCACATCCTCCTTTACATGGTAGGCAATATCAAGAGAGCCACTGATAGTGTCTTCAACTATCCCATTGACAAGTTTCTGTATTTGACTCCTGTGTCTTGCTTGTATATCGACTTCTGAGCTAGCCCAAAGGCTCCACTCATAAAACAAGGTTGTAAGCAGTAGTCCACCCACACAGGCCAAAATGAGTCTGAAACACTTCTTATAGGCAAAAAGCATCTAGAATGAAGATGGAAAAAAAAGGTCAAAATGGCATACACAGGTTATACAGGATACAGTAAGATAAAGGGCATGGGGAGAGGCAGAGATCTTGGGTTTCATGTGGGAATAACTGGATTTGATTGGATTGTTGACAATTTTACACTGGATTTAACAGTTTATCAAAACTGTCTTAAAATTGATCTGGAGCTGTTGTCAGAGCAACAAGTCCTTAAAAACCTGCAGAGGTGTAAGCTATGTTACCTGGATCATGTGCTACACAGTGCAAATTTTAGACCTTAAAAATCACTACACCTTTTTAAAATATACATTTATTATAATTTTGACAGGTGAATTTGAACCAAATTGTGGTTGTTAGATGTGAAACTCACTAAATGCAATATCATGCTGCAGATGCACAAATCAAAATGACTGGTAATGTGACACACAAAAAAACAAACACCCCACTGTTCTTACACCAGTACCAAAAATTAAAACACCTTTTAGTAAAATTAAATGTCTGAACTATACTTGTAAGCTCACTCAGATAAAAAGAAAATCAGAAAAGACCTAAACAATGTTTCATTTATTTCTCCTAGATACAGTGAGGCACAGAAGTGTTTGAACACCCTGCGATTTTGCAAGTTCTCCCACTTAGAAATCATGGAGGGGTCTGAAATTCACATTTTAGGTACATTCCCACTCTGAGAGACAGAATTAAAATTTTTTTTCAGGAAATCACATTGTATGATTTTTAAAGAATTTATTTGTCTTGCACTGCTGAACATAAGTATTTGAATACCTGAGAAAATCAGTGTTAATATTTGGTACAGAAACCTTTGTTTGCAATTACAGAGGTCAAACGTTTCCTGTAGTTCTTGACCAGGTTTGCACACACTGCAACAGGGATTTTGGCCCACTCCTCCACACAGAAACCTAGCTGGATCTTCGCTCAGTTCAGACTAATTTAAAAAAAAGTATTTAATTTACTGTTTTGCAAAATTGCTTCCTTATGAAACATTTAATATAAATGTGACAAAGTGGGTGAGAGCACTCCACTTGTCCCTAAGATACAGTGAGGAACAGAAGTATTTGAACACCCTGCGATTTTGCAAGTTCTCCCACTTAGAAATCATGGAGGGGTCTGAAATTCACATTGTAGGTGCATTCCCACTCTGAGAGACAGAATTAAAATTTTTTTTCAGGAAATCACATTGTATGATTTTTAAAGAATTTATTTGTCTTGCACTGCTGAACATAAGTATTTGAATACCTGAGAAAATCAGTGTTAATATTTGGTACAGAAACCTTTGTTTGCAATTACAGAGGTCAAACGTTTCCTGTAGTTCTTGACCAGGTTTGCACACACTGCAACAGGGATTTTGGCCCACTCCTCTACACAGATCTCCTCTAGCTCTGTCAGGTTTCGGGGCTGTTTATTATTTCACATTGTAATGTATTTGATTAGTTCAGCAGAAGACAGCTGAATGCAGTGGTGTGAAATTTGTGTTGGCAGTGTCAAAAATGTGGTTTCTGGAGTGATTTACCAAAGCCCTCATTTTCACTTACCATCTCAATATTCTGCTCCCAGTTATAATGGCAGTGAATGGAGCAGGTGAAAGGTATTCCTGCCACCTGAAGGCTCTAGACAATGTGTAAGTCTGGTTGCTGAGATAGTCACATTATCTGAATCAAGACAAGACAACAAGCACAAGCATAAGCATTGGCTATTCTTCCCAACTTTCATGGTGATTCTAAAATCATATAGCACCTTTTATGAAGGCTAAAATGCAGGCTATGGGGTCTCATGGAACATAGCCCTTTCATCATGCTTGTGCTATGTTTGGAATACACAGGTCTCAGATGTCTCAGCTATTCTTGGTGTATGACCAGACAAACCGATCATATTAAGTAGATCTTAGCATTAAGATGAAATGAAATTATCAACAGTTTGCGAAGTGCAAATGTAACTTTGTGGCCATAAAATCAACATATTTTGTTGTTATACAGTCAGGGAAAAAATTATTTGAATTCCAGCTGATTTTGTAAGTTTGCCCACTAACAAAGAAATGATCAGTCTACAATTTCAATGGTAGGTCTATTTGAACAGTGAGAGACACAAAAATAACAAAAAAAAATCCAGAAAAATGCATTACAAAAAAAGTTATAAAGTAATTAGCATTTTCATGAATGAAATAAGTATTTGATCCCCTATCAGTTAGCAAGATCTCTGGCTCCCAGGTGTAATTTATACAGGTAAGGAGCTGACATTGGGAGCCCTCTCAGCTTGTTACCTGTATAAAAGAGACCTGTCCACAGAAGCAATCAATCAATCCAGATTCCAAACTCTTCACCATGGCCAAGACCAAAGAGCTTTCCAAGGATGTCAGGGACAAGATTGTGGACCTACACAAGGCTGGAATGGGCTACAAGACCATCGCCAAGCAGCTGGGTGAGAAGGTGACAACAGTTGG